AAAAAAAAAAAAAAAAAAAAAAGTGAAAGTCACGTCTTGCACTTGTCGCTTCTATTTTTAGGGGATTTATTTTGAATTCAGGCCAAATTCTGTCCTTGTCAAGTCTTTCATGTTACCTGTGGTGTCCCGGCAGTTTTCAGCCGGCAGAACCCAGGAATGAGCAAAGCTGACGGCGTTCTTCGTCACGCGTCCGTTGGAAGTGCGGTATTCCTGTCTTATCTCACCATCGGCCTTTCCGCAGAGTCCACAAGTCTGTCCCTTAATCCAGTCCGCCACTTTGATCTGCATGGAAAGAATGGAATCAACCATTTTTGTCATCTGTAAAGTAGATCTAGTGATCATCAACTTAAAATGAGCTATGAGCTACCTTCCAAGAATTTTTGTCAAAGTAGACTTCGTGGAGTCCCAGGCTCGGGGCGTAGACAGAGATGCCATCTTTGTTTGGTCTGATCTCAATTTTAGCTAGAAACACAATTGAGAATTCCCTTGTTGCAATGGGTAATGCAGTGAAAGGATTGGAGAGTTTTTGTTCTTTCAGCAGTGTGACAATGTTCACGGTAATAACGATGACTAACCTGTTGGGTGCTGATATGGCAGATGACTGGTAGGCACCTCCCTTCCATTAACCTTCACAACCACATTAGTGTCCCTCAAGTACAGGTCGATATCACTAAGAAAGTGAAAGTAAGGTTGGGTTTGTTTTTTTTTTTTTTGCATCATCATTGCTCAGTTAGCGCAACCTATTCTTATTTCAACTTACATGTCAGCGATTTTAACGTTAATATGGTTGTGCACGTTATCATCCTTCCTCAACAAGACCATGAACTTCATTTCCTCGCTGCAGTCCTGAGCCAGAATTTGGTAGCAATACTGAGGCATCTCGTTTTTGTACTTCCTGTTGTTGAACGTGGTCACGGTGTCTCGAATGGAACTACATTCGGCTGAATGGAAGAAGAATAGAAGACAGTTTGGTACCTGAACAAGTATTGCGCGGCGCAAGTTTTTTTTAAGCACTGTTATATACTACCTGCTGCGGCCTTGGAGATCAAGTAACGGACTTTATCAGCCAGGTCATCAAAAGGCGTGAGTCCTGTTATCTCATCCAAGGGCAAAGCAAGGGGGAGACGCAAAGCCAGTTTATAGATGCTGCGCTGTAAACAGAAGAGTACACTTGTGAGGAATCGTCTTTTGAAACGAATCAGAACCGCTGCACTGATCATACTGTTGGCGTCTTGAAAATCAAATCCAAGGTCCTTTCAGATGTTGCGGCCACTGTGAATGACAACTGATCCACACTGTTGTTGTCCCTGCTTCGGATGAAGCTTTCCAATACGTAAGCAGGAATGTAGTCATACGCCCTGTGGTGGAAGATTTTAAAACAGATATATTTACGGGGATAGAAAAAAAAAAAAAAAAAACAGTCTTTGCGTTGCTCGCATACTTCTTTGCGTAGCGTTTGAAGACAACCGGCAGTTGATTCCATGTCATTCTGAGGCGAGCTGCTGGACTTGGACCAAGTAGACCAGTCTCAGCGGTGACTGTCAAGTCATACTGTTTGCATGCCTGTCCCCAAGCTATTTTGGCCTTTCAAGACACAACAAATGGCATGTAGCTTTTGATGCTGAACTGGAAATGTGGGAAGAGAAGTTTTCTTACAGTGGCTTTGTGCTTGCTGAGCAAAACGCCATCAGCACAGAGCCTCCAGTTGTTATCAGCAGCCAGGGCAGCCAGGATTAGCTGAAGTCGAGCATTAGTCTTGTCTGCGTAGCCAGTGATTTGGTATCCCTGGAGCTTGCCATCGGTCCTCACAGCTTGCAGGATGACAGCAAAGGCAGGAGCATTTTCAGTGCCAAGGAATTTGTTCTGAGAAGAAAATCAAACAAAAACCACAATATTTAGCCAAAGGATTTGAGGTGTGAATGCTCATCATGCTTCAAAAGTTTCACCTTGTTGTAGATGGCCTCGAAACTTGAGGCACTGCTTCTGCTCTTTTGAGACGACGAGCCAGCGTGGAACTGCAATAACATAAGATGGTGAGAATTACATCTGGATCTTCATCATTGTGCCCATGCACCGTGCTCACTTACCATCTTGTGGTTTTGCTGGAAGGTGCGCTTGTTAACCCGCTATCAGGAAAAGATGAAAACAATTCAGAAATTCCACAGTTGTCCACTCAAACCAAAAAGTCTGTTTTTAACACGTTTTTACATTTGAAGTGCGACGACTGGAACGGGAGGAACGAGAGCTGGCGCTAAAGAGAGATTCCAAACTGGAGGCAGAGCTGCTCTTAGCAATATGCTGCTATTGCTGCTGCTTCTTCTTTTGCTGACGGTCCTTCTGCTGCTCCTCCTGCTGCTGCTGCTGCTGCTGCTGCTGCTGCTGCTGCTGCTGCTGCTGCTGCTGCTGCTGCTCCTGCTGCTGCTGCTGCTGCTACTTTTGCTGACGCTGCTTTTGCTGCTGGTGCGTCTGCTGCGGCTGCTCACTGAAGATGAAGAGGACTTGCTTGAAGAAGAAGAGGAGGAAGAAGAGGTGCCATTCAGAAGTTTCTTGAGCTTCATCAAGACTGGTCTTCCCTCGATGACTTCGTCTTCAGCCAGGTTGATCTTCTTGATGATTTTCTCTGCGGCCTTTGGTCCGACTTGAACCAGCATCTCCAGTCTTTCAATGGATTCATCTTCATCTGAGATTAACATTAAATTAGATGTTAATTGAATCTACTCTAAGTACGGTGTTTTCATAATTCTGTTACTTACTCTTCTTCACTGACAAAGAGGCAGAGTGATTTCCAGCCATTCTGTACAATGGAATGTCCTTGACAAAAGCAGCGTTGTCGGTGGCAACCCTGAAACAGCCTCTCAGTCCAGTTCCGTAAACTTGGAAACTGTACTTTTTAGAAAATGCTCTCCTTCTGATAGGGTGAACATCTCTTGCCATATCCCGAAGGATCTCTGAGGATGCAGCCTATCGAAAGGAAAAGACGGGTAAAAGCAATCAATATTTTTCCACGCGCGTCTTGCTGCCTAACATTGAAAGCTTACCGAAACAGACCCAGAGGAAGATTTTGAGGTGAGGATCTCCTTTGAAGTTGGTCTGGTGTATTCGGCAGGGATGAGAGGGGTGATTCTGGGATTGGGAATGTCTTCAACGTTCCTCACCACAGCAATGCTCTCAACCCTGTCAAAGGATCGAAGTTTTGGTTATCTTATCCCTCTCAAATTGAATACTGTTCTGTGTTTAAACTGAAAGTCAAGTCTTACTCAATAGCTACAACGTGTTCAGGTGCAGAAACGGGGAGAGCGGCAATCTTATATTGACCCTCATTGATATCAACTCTTGCTGAAATGGAGGCTGGTACAATGGAGTTGATCTTGGCTCTTGAGAGGACAGCAGCCTGGAGAATTGCAGTGTTCACACCCATCACAGCAAACATGTTTGCAACAACGCTAGAAAGAGAGGATGTGGTTCAAATGTTAATATCCAAAGGATAAATTTTGATTCAATTGTCAGCCTTCCTGTGCACCTTGGTTTGATGTCAACCATAAGCTCAATGTTGGTCTTCAGGAGATGGCGGAACTGGATGGGCTCTGGCAGGGCTGGAGTTGCAGTTGCCTTGACTACCAGAAAGTACAGTTTTAGTTTTTCTCTTTGGTGAAAAAAAACAACAACAACAAACAAAACATCAGAAATAAATAACGTAGTTTGAAAGTCACTACATACTTTTACCAACCGCAACAGCCACAGCAGCAGTGTACAGGCCTAGCTCCATTGGGAATCCAGCAGCCGTTGGCATGATGCGCCTCACTTCAGTTGCCAGTACGGGCTTTGCAACATGGAAAGAGGCTCCTGACAGTAGAGATTTGATAACGTCCCGACCAAGATCCTGAACGGATGGACCACTGGCCAGCTGTGCAGAAAAAAAAGTATCTTAATGCAAATGCATTCGTAAAAATGTTAAACCTTTCTTTAAGACTTGAACCCCCTCAGTTCATGTTAGTAAATCTGACAAGCTTTCAACACAACACTACCGTAATGGCCTGCTTAATCAAGTCTTGGTTAATGTCAGCGAAGGCAATTTCTTGTCCGAAGAACTTGACATAGATGGAGGCGAGAGGCTTGCTGTTGGGCATGGCCCTCCAGTCAGACAGCTGTAACAACACAAAAAAAAAAAAAAAACGGCAACTTTGGACACACCTGCATTGTATGACATCTAGTTATGTCCATCTAGAATTGCGCTGATAACTTACGGCTTTGATAACACGCTTCATCTTGGTGATCCTGTTCACATCATCAGCTAATGCATGGCTTTTCAGCAAAGCCTCCTGGAGTCCCTCAGTTCTCACTCCAACCTAGCAAATTATCACCAATGTCAAAGTGAATTTATACACCAGTCATTCAAAGTAAGGGGACTTCAGAATTTTACCTCAAAGATATCAGCAGCGGCTCCAGCAATGTAGGCACTGGTCTTAGCCACGATGGCTCTTGGCAAAAGGGTGGCAGCATCATTGATGTAGAAAGTACTGACGGCAGCACCAAGCATAAAGGGATCTGGACAAACGCATTTAATTAGCAGAAATAAGGAATGTAGGGCCATGTGAAATACCGTATAGCTCTTACTGCTGTACAAGTCCATCTGAATGGCTCTGCTAAAGCGGAGGCTCAGTCTTTCGAACTTCTTGCTCAAGATTTTGACTCCGACACTGCAAGCAGCGGCACTGTAACGGAATTTCATGAACATTAGCTTGTGCAAGACAAATCTGACCGTGTGTCTTGAGAGGGCTTTTACATGGAAGCATGGTTGGGGGCAGTGCTTCTGGTCAGGGACTTCATGTGAGAGTAGGTGAAGCTGGCCACCTGCAAATTCTCCTCCATCTTCAGAAGATTTGCAAGACTTGTCACTAAACCCACTGCTGGGCGAGTCTCGAAGATAACGATGCATGCAAGCATGCGGAGCTCAGGATGAAGAGCCTTATCCATATACAGCTGAAGAGCCATTTCCTGGACCTGATTTTGGGTAGACGTGTACAAAGTACTTTGTGAAGACTTTATGACTTATTGGAGAATAGGAATGAAACCTTCAAAGATTATCTCAAGTAGAGGCAGCATCAACTCCTTTGTCAAAGAGTTTTCGTGTGAGTGTGAGGCATTGACAACATACCAGTCTTGGTTCCTTCTTGGCGATGTTCCTCAAGGCCATGATTGCCTCAGCGTGAACTCTGGTTGGTAGACTTGTAGCCGCTGTGCCATGAATGGGAAGGACTTTTGTGATCGGTTTCAGGCTCATTGGATGGCCAGCATTACTCAACACCTTCAAAATGGAAATCATTTGCCATGTTTCGCCCTTGGAGACAGACTCCGCAAGAAGGGTGTGGATGGGCTGTTTGAGAAAAGGACAGCATTGATTCACCTCTCATTCGGGAAGAGAACTAACCAGGCAAAAATAGTTCATGTTAAGGTCATTTCACCTTGACCAGTTCAACGGGGCAGACTGGCTTGTCGGCACAATATTTAGAAACCATGGTGCCGTAGCCAAGTAACACAATCTCATTCAGAACGGGGTTGGTCTTTATTTTGGGGTTGACCCTCAAGCTCTGAAAAAGACAGATCCGGAAATCATTAATGTTTCATGAAAGAACAGCGTTAGAAGTGCGGGGGTATAGCTTTCCTCACATCAAACAGCTGAATGGCCTCATGGTTGGCTGTCACCATATGAACTGATGCAATCAAAGCTTGAGCGACCTCAACGGTGCTGAGTTCCGCAGCCTCAAATCTCTGAATGATAAATCTCAGTGCAACAGGAGTTCCAACGGAAGGAAGCGTATCCAAGATCCATTGCCTGGAGGGTACGAGTAGATAAGTTGCATTGTCTATTCTTTATCACTCAAATGTTGATGAAAATGTTACCTGTATGCAGGGTTTGTCTTGTGCTGCCTCCAGACCATTTGCAGATCTTCAAGTTTGGCCATACGAAGGAGTTGAATGAACTCCCAAAATCTGAGAGGGGCATCATCATGGACTCTTTCCACATTGTTGGCAACTATATGACTTAGAACCGCCTCTATCTACAAAGAAATGAAGGTATATCGTCAAATATCCTAGGAAAATCCCATTTCTCCTTGTAGACCCAAAGAAGTCGAAAAAGGTACCTGAGTTTGGAGGTTGGTGACCTTCACAAGCTGGATGGGTGTTTGCAACAGCTCGGTGGAGAACTCATACTGGACGGATCCACGTTGACGATACTCAGCCTTTACGGGCATTAAGGGACTATTCTGCACCTCAACGAAAACCAAATGTTGCCTAGGAAATAGTGAGATAAAAATATGAATTCACTGCCTGGTAGTCTCCGAATTTTGACATAGATATGATTCTCCTTTTCCATACTTGGTCTCCATTTGAGTAGCTCCATTCATCTCTTTGAAAGGTGTGAACTGAATGACTTCATTCACAGATGCGTCCAAGATCATGATACCGTTGGGAACTGACTTCAGAACGTAGTTGTATGCGGTTGCACCTTTTACGGTCTTGGAATCCTGGAAGACAAACGGTAGCCTTAGCACACTACCCTTTTATCTTCCATGAAACCTCTTTCCTTCCATGACAAAGACTGATCATGCAATTACCCGCTGACACTTAGCACATGTCTCAGTGTAGGCCAACCCGATGTCCTTCACAATCCTTTCCTGACAGTGGTTCAGATCCCTGGTCTTTGTCAGGAGGATGCGTTCAGCCTTATCGTCTTCAGTGATGGCATAGAAAGTTTTGCACACACCCTGAGCTCCGGCCTGAAGGCAAAAGATGACATTTTATAAAACTCTGTGACGGATGCATAAGCAACGCTGACTGCCTCTTTGGGTTTACCTCCTGCATCTCGTAGACATTCTGTGTCTTCTTTACGTTGAGCTGCAGGACACTCAGGATACCTCTGTAGATGTTCAGCACCATGACCGAGACTCCCTCGGGCGCGAACATTTTTCCGACAACACCATTGGAGTACTCAAACTTGATGGGGATCATAAGTTGAGGTGCCAGGACCGAAGTCAGCTTGGTGGCCGGAGTAAAAGCATCCTTTGGCCAAACACCACTGTACTCGAAGAACTCAGGTTCGGCAAGCTACAGTTACAGACATGTAAGTAAATTATTGTGCTTTTCCCACTTGGGTGTTGCTTGAGTATCCTACTGATCTACCTCACCTTGAGCATGAGCATGTTGTGTTCAATGGCGCTGATTAAAACTTTGCTTCTCACTTTGAGTCCAGCTCTCCCCAGTCCTTCCTCAGGGAGACCGCCGAGGAGCCATGTCTCATATTTGTACACATATGTCTTACCAGCAGCAAAGTCAGGAGCTTGAAGAGTCAGAGTGTTGATTGGCACATGCACAGGTAACAACACATTGGCATACAGTACAATTGACTTTTGTGAAAACATAGCTCATTTTCTACAATCGTTGTATATTGGCGTTGCAATGAAATGCTTGTATCTCTCCATTTGTTATCATACGTATATTTTATATTTATATTTACTCAAAACATAACGAACATCACTTTCTCACAAATTTATGAGTAGTACAGGGATGATCTACTGGAAAAAATACAATTTTATACTCACCGAAGTTCTGTTGACAGGCTGAAAATAAACGAAACAGAAATGCACAACTGATATAGTTTATCAAAATTTACAATTGGGCTCAAAATGCAAACATGAAGTAGACTTTTTTCAATTAACAATAACCGATTTTGATGGGTGTTTCATGGTTGGATGGATATATGGATGGATATCAAGGTAAATAAATCAATAAATAAGCAAAGATCATTAAAGAATAAAACATTAAAATGTACAAACTTTGAGGTCGAACAGAATAGAAAAAAAATGCATTCTTAAAAGTGAAAGATAGCATTGGCACAACCGGCACTTACCCGCAAGGGCCAGAGTCAGGGCAAGCACAACCACTCTCATGGCTGATGGGTCGTACTTGTCGGCACTCACAAGCAGCCTTTTATAGCGAAAACTTGTGCTGCCCACCTATTTACTTGGTCAAAGTCAAGCATCATTTGTAAATATTTGCTGTCTTCTTGAATCTGAGCCATCAAACGAAAGTACAAAATTGAAACTTATATTTCATGAATTTTATGATGTATTCATGCCCAAGGCAAATTTTGATGAAAGTTCATTTTTATTGATGGAATGTCCATTCTCGTTGTCACTGGAAATGACAGAATGAATGTAGAACGGATATAATTAGATCAGTTTTTTTTTTTGTTTATAATCCCTCCAAAATTATTGTTATCCTATCAAAAGCATGCTTATCTGCTCCCAATGTATTGATTCACTGACTTTATATGGCACAAAGCAAATAGTAATAATATCATAATAATAATGATAATAATAATTTGAATATACCGGCATGTATGTATGTATGTATGTATGTATATATATATATATATGGATCCTGGTGACTATATACACACACACATATTGTCATCACCAGGATCCATTAGAAAAGTGTGAGACATATGCTTTGAATAAATAATAAATGATGTGTAAAATCTAACTTTAGCCACTTTCTTGTTTCAGTCTTATAGATAGAAGATACTAATTAAACAGTTAACATTTCACTCTAACTCAAAATTTGGTCAGGGTATGAATATGGGGCTCTCAACAGAGATTTATTCAAATCAATGTCAAGAAAAGACCAATTTCATCCACAACAAGGGTAATTTATTCCAGAGGCATTTGAACATACTCAAACATTTGGATTGAGTGGATGGTAAGCTGAGTGTATTTATTTCACAGCAGAAAATTAAACATAGACCTCATTTTTATTTGATTGAACTAAATATATTTTAGTTACACTGTAGTGGTTTTATTCGTGAGTTTTCTAACTTTATGATTTATTGCTGTCTGTCACATCAGTGTCACATTGTTGCATTTTGGTTTCAAAGTTCACACCAACAGGGCACAATGACAATGGTTGTTTGCTCACTTTATTTGATATGGTCAGTGTGACCATGATGACATGACATTTTAACAATTGTCAGCGTAGTCCACAAGATACAACATTAAAAAAAAAAAAGAAATCAAGAACACACATCAGAGTAACGTGGACCAACAGAATCGCTTTGATTCTTCTTCCTCATAAGGTTACATTTGCCACTTGTCTCTATAGGCAGCTGTCAGTCATAGGGTCTTTCGTGGACCAATCGAATCTCCTTGACGCCTTGGGGAAGCACACGTGGAAAAAGTATCGGGTGTTTACGCAAGAACAAAGTTAGGCAAACACAAAAAAAGCAATATGACTTTGTGGATTTCCAGTCATCCAGGTCATTCTGCAAAGGCTGAATCAAAAAAACTCAACAAGGGGGGTCGAGTTGTCCCGATTCAACTTTGCATCACACACGAAGGCAAAAAAACAAAAAAAAAACGGTAAATGAGAATTAGAATAACAGCGAGTGCGGTTATGATACAAATAAATGGGCAGCCACACTTAGTGCCCCCCCCCAACACTAACCCCGCATCCCCAAGTACAAAACCGTAGAGCTATTATCATGCATTCATTACGCTTTGCTTTCCAAGACAATAACAAAGTCAAGAAGTGCCAATTTAAGTTTGCAAACTCTTTAGGCTAACATTGTATAAATTATTAATAACAAGAATACAAATGTTTCACAATATCACACATATGTTCATGAGAAGGTTTAAAAAATACCTTACATAAACAGTGATATGGGAAACAAGCAAAAATAAATGTTTCCTACAGTTAACTACAATTACAAATCTGAACCCCAAAATGCACTATAAATTTGGTCTTCACTTTTTTCAGTGCTTTGTACATTTAAACAACTTTTAAGGAACATGAACTGAACAAAACAAAACAACACGTAGCATAACCTGTTGACTCAAACCAACCAACCATTAGGTTGTGCACTGTCATGACCGTCAAGATATAGCTGGTGGCATGGCCATGTTTTGTCAAACTATTTGATTCTGTCCTTTAATTTGTATCTTGTTCTCTCTAAATAAAGTGTGTTAGTTATCCCTTTTAACCACATGTGAGATGATGGCACCTTTGCAATCATCCGTAATGTGAGAATCTGTTTTGTTTGTTTGTTTGTTTTTTATTATCATGAACCTGTCAGGGATAAAACATTGTTTTACTTTGCTCAATGCCCTGAAGGCTTCAGATGCCCCAAGGATATTGAGTACTGTAGAGGTTCCGACTTGATCACAGCTTCTATGACCTATGACATAATGATACAGATAAAAATCCAAAAAGATTAAATCCTTGAGCTTGTTGCATAACTATGAAGATGGGTTGCAACCGAAATTCTCATTTGCCCCATAAAGGTATAAATATTATGTAATCTGTCCTTCGTGAACTGGGGCATGTGTATAATTTATATTAATAGGTGAATAAAACAATATCTTGGAGAAAAAAAAAACAAATCTTTTAAAACATAGCAAACTCTGCCTTTTACTGAGACTTTGCTTTGACGGTTTTGGGCATTGCTCAAATCCGAAGAGGGTAAACCACAAAATATTCAGTGGACAAGACATCATGTCGTTTTGTACAAAGAGCCCAAGAATGTGGTTTGAAAAAAAACAAACTAAAAATCGAATGCTGGTTTTACAAGTCTTATCCAGTAGAGGGTGCCAGTTATTTATGCCACACCTCAGAGAATGCCGCCTTAGACAGTTGCTTCTTTCGCCAATATAAAAAAAAAAACTATCGAGAGTTGAGCAACGACAGACTTATACAGCGTCTGCACCACTGAAGACGCTGCATTGATCCACCTGTCGATCAGCCACTCCATCCAGGACCTCTTCCCTGACTTGTACAGAGGACTCCACCTTTTTCTGACAGAGCACCGGTGTCTCAGATTTGGAGAAGCTGATTCTCATCTCAACCTTTTTGCACTCAGCTGCAAACCACTTCAATAAGAGTTGAAGACTGCCAGCTTGATGAAACCAACTGAATCACATGAGGTCACCAAACCGAACCCCCACGTCTCTACGTTAAGGTTATAGACGGAAGTGACGAAGGGCAGTCTTGGCGGAGTCTGACTCTCACTGTAAACAAATTTGACTTCCTGCCGGCATTGAGCTTGAAAATCTGACACCATTTGTACCCCATAATCCTGAAGCACCCAACTCAGAACTCCCCAAAAGACACAGTTGAACACCTTCTCCAAGTCTATAAAACACGTGTAGACTGAGCAAACTCTCAAAACACACCAGTAGACTGTGCTGGAGGTGTAGAGTTTGTCCACAGTTCCAAGGCAAGGACAAAACCCACTCTGCTCCTTCGGAATTTGAGCTTTTCCAGTCCTTCCTCTCCAGAACCACTGAAAAACTCTTACCGGGGAGCGTGAGGAGTATCATCATCCTGCATTTGGAATAGAACCTCCAGTACTCTTTCTTCAAAAGGGGTACCGCCATCCCGCTCTGCAAGGTGATAGCCACTGTCCCTGATGTCCACAGGATGTTGCAGAGGCATGCCAGCCAACATAGTCCCACAACATCCAGAGCCTTTAGGAAACTTTACAAAATTACCCTCACCGATGGTCACGAACTGTGTGTCATGAGCGAAAAAACAAGACCCCGAATCCAAGCGGGCTCGCCAAATGAGTTGCCTCGGGCATTTGATTAGGCTGCCTCCTGGATGCCTCCCCGGTGGGGTGTTCTAGTTACGTCCCACGGGAAACAGGCCCAGAGTTTGACGACTGGCTTGGGATTGCCTTGGGATTTCCTTGGAAGAGCTGGACGAAGTGGCCGGGTCGAAGGAAATCTGGGCTTCCCAGCTAAAACTGCTGCCCACACAACCCGACCCAGATATAGCAGAAGAAAATGGATGGATGGCCTCAAGGTTAGATTTGACTTTTCCAAGAGGCCTTTGACTCGCAGTAAACGTTTGAAATGTGCAGTAGTTCTTCTTCACTGCCATCGATGAAAGATGGGGCGCAACTTTGAAAGAAAATTTGCAAAGACTGGTTGCGAGGTCACTCTCAAGCTGACTTGGTGCGATCATCCTTACTCAGTACAGAGAAGGGAAAACATAACTTGATACTCTTAAGATAAGAGCTCACTCGCTCACTCTCCCTAGGTCTAAACTGCTGAGTCCCCTGAGCCATTCAACCGAATGTAGAGTAGACAGACACTCGTTCATCCAATCACATTCAAATACCTTCAAAGTATGGTCAGAATTTTTGTATATATGTATAAACAGACTTTGGTCTGAAAGGCAAGACAAGGAAAGGAAATTTCAGAAGCGATATGTACAGACAACAATCAATACACACATATCTTACAAAAATAATAAATGAAGAATGTGAGCAAAGAAAAAAAACTGCTACACCTGAAAAGTAAAATATGTTCATGTTTGCATTCTGATGTTTTGTTTGTAATATTATTCTTTTTTACATTGTTACATCCTCAACATGTTCGGATGGGGGCACAATGGCGGGTACGCTGATTGACATTTCTGTGTCACAGTTCTGAGATTCTGGGTTCAAACTTTGGTGTGGGCCTTACTGTGGAGAGTTTGCACCTGGTGCTTGTGCCCGTGTGGATTTTCATGATGTACTGCGGCATGTTAGGTTCATTGAGGAGTGTAAATTGAGAGTGTGAATGGTTGTTTGTCTGTTCAGTAGGTGCCTTGAAATTGACTTGCAACAGATCCAGTGTTTGCCTCACATCTCACCCAGTCAGATAGGATCGATTCAAGCTCACTTACGGCTGGATGGTTGATACAGTGCGTAGATTGAACAACCCCGGTGAACAAATGAATCTCGTTTGTCTTGTTTCTAAACAGCTAAACACATAAATTCCACACATCACACAGGTCTGCGGTTTAAGTTCACACTTTATTGTGATTGGGAGTAGTCGAATTCATGGAAATAAAAGTAGTTGGATTGATTAGGCACACTGAGGTGTGCAACGGCAGGCTAGGTGGGCTTCGGTTTTTTCTCTCAGGTCCACACTCTTCTCAAAGATGCCGTTCATAC